TATATTATATATATATAATGGACACGTGTCGTCATCTAAACCTTGAGTCCAATTTGTCGTCATCTAAATCCGTGAAACAACAATGTATTATCCGTCAAATTCCCTCACACGTGAGTTTCATCCGCAAGTATTTTAAACTACATAGCATGAGAATCCATCTCATGATCAGTTATATTTTACTTTTATAGACATTTTATAGAGACAAATTGGTCATTAACTTACAAAAGATCCCTTGCATTTCTTTAGCAGACATGGACTGCAAAATCGCTTAATAAAAGCATAATATGTGCGTAGTCACCTTAAAAATAAAATACAAAATGTATCCAAAAGAAAATAGTAAATCACTAAAATGATTAATAATCTCCTAACATCATATAAGATCCATTTCAAAGAAAATAATTTTAGAAATAAAAGAGCCCAATGCAAAAGATCTAAACTTCGGTAACTATGGATAAGGAAAGAAAAATTATGCAAAAGATCCATTTCGAATGGAACTGTAAAGCTTCAGTTATGCCATTTCACCTTGGGTATGGATTGATCATCGTCGAATTATTTTAGCGTCTCCAAGTGCGGATAATCACTGCGATTGCTTGTCCAAGTGAGCTGGCTTCTATTCAATCAAGCAAGACAACACACCTGTCAGGACACCCACTATGTACGCTTCGCTGCCTTCGTCTCCCTTTCCATCTCCTAGAACCTCACGTCTCATCGCTTCACCTTTGTCGTCGAACTCTTCCTCCAAATCCTATGCAATCTATATTAACAGGAATCCACAATTAATCAGACGTATTAATCAAAAAAACGTAAAATTAATTGCTCCTTTCCATCCAACAACCAATATCATCAACTTCCCAACATATGCTAATTGTATAAGAGAAACGCGATTGAACCCTAAATCTCGCAGCAAAACATAAAACACTTGATCCAAGTCAAAATGAACATTATTGTCTAGGGCTCCATACTCCAAACAAAACATGTGTAGCTATGGCGGTGGAGGAGCAGAGAGCCTTAAATAGTGTTGTTTGATAGTTAATCAAATGGATAGTGAAGTTAAATCGGCATGTTAAAAAATGAATCTTAATAACTGATATGATGATACCTTCACGACCTGTCAGCCGATTTACGATCATGGTCAACAAGCTCGACTCTTCTAATTTCATTATACAGCTTCAACGGGAATGTAGCAACATCACCCACCACGTACACATCAGGCACACTCGTTTTGAAAAAAGAGTCTGTCTGAACAAGACAAAAAATGTCATGTAAATCTCTTAAATAAGTTGTAAGAAGAGCAGTAAACAAAATGTGGTCCGTTTTAGAATGAAAAACTGAACACACCTTGATGCCACTCTTTTTCTCTTCGATTTGGCCCTTAAATAATGTCGTGCGTGGTCTGCCACCTACACCAACAACGACAATGTCGGCTTCCAGTACCCTGCCATCCTTAAGCTTCACATTTGTCACCTAAACCGAGAAGAAAACGAAAAGGAAACTGAAATGTCATCTCATGCCAATTGAAACTCGTCAGAAAATAATCAACTTGCAACTGTGAACTAAATTTATAGTTTTTCAGTTTTCTTTGGAGTTTCCTGGTTTCTAAGTTTTCATGGTTCGTTTTTCAGTTTCTTAGGATTCATTTTTTTTTTATTTCGAGTACTTTTTGAGCTGTTTCAAATTTTGAGATTTACATTCAGGAGACACCAGACGTGTGAATTCCTACTTACCATTATGATTGAGAACTCACCTCCCCGTTGCCATTGCCGCCTAATCCAACTGCTACAGTGCCCTTAATGATATTGACTCCCTTGTTCGTATAGTAACTTTCGTAAAAAGCAGCTATTCCGGCAGTGAAAAGCATGGGCACTTTTTATATATGCACACAAAATTATTTTCATTGCCTCTTTTACAAACTTGTGAAAAAAATGAAAATTACGGCTAATATGACTTACTGCACCAAGGTTCTGGGAAGACCATACTGACATCGATATTGTTGATTCTGAAAGCTTCACTTAGCTCCAGGCCGATATATCCACCACCGACAACCACAACTTTTCCATTTTTCATTGTGTTGATTGTTTTCACGAGTTCATCAGCGTCATCTATTCCTCTCACGTAAAAGATGTTATTAGCATCAGCACCTCTTGTGCCAAAGTCGGTTAATCTAATAACCTGACAAAAGAGAGCAGCAGACAATTCAAAAATAGCTCAGTGAAATGAGCTACTGCTGAAAGATAGAAAATATAATTAAAACTAAGAGAAAAGGAAGAAAAAAAGATAAAAAAATGAGAAGTGTTACTTAACAGAAGAACCAGTTGCTATAATCAATTTTTGGTATTTAAATGTTTCACCAGCTGCACTCATAAGTGTCTTTGAAGCAAGATCTGCTTTCAAAAATTTCGTGCACAGTATCAAAGATATCCCCGTTGATGATGAAGGCAAGATTAGCAGATTGAGAATATAGAACGGGACGGATTGCAAACAAAATTCACAAAAAATGCCATGGTATATCATATACTGAAATATGAAATTAATAAGAATGGATTACCTTTATCTGTGTACCACTCAGGAAGGAGACTCTCTCCACCCAGGAAGGAGACTCTCTCCACCCAGGAAGGAGACTCTTTGAAGCAAGATCTGGTTTCACAATTTTCGTGCTCAGTATCAAAGATATCCCCGTAGATGACGAAGACAAGATTAGCAGATTGAGAATATAGAACAGGTCGGATTGCAAACAAAATTCACAAGAAATGCCATGGTATATCATATACTGGAATATGAAATTAATAAGAATGGATCACCTTTATCTGTGTACCACTCAGGAAGGAGACTCTCTCCACCACTTCCAACACACGTAAAAACCAGTAAGTCTTGCAGTTCCTGAAAGATATATACGTTAAGTAAAATAATATTTTTGCTGAGAAAGTTGAATTGAGACATCTGTCGGTGCACAGATTAGAGGTCGGCATAAATTCTGTAGATGATATCGCAATTGAAGATGACTATCGAATACACAGCACGACCGTCGAAGACTATTTACCGTTGTGCTGAATCAAGTTGTGGAGCTACGATTTGATTGGTTTTTGAAAATTTCCCTTCTTTCAGTCGATGGCAGACGAAGCTCCTTGTGGCATGTTGCGCTGGGATCTGGCGGTCACCCTCGACGGCCGCGTGCGAGAAGTAGGTATTGGTACATAAATTTGTGAACGATCCAAGAATCAGAGAATTTGCAAGTCACTGAAAAAGCTGAAAATATCCAAAAGCTACCTACCAAAATCAGTTGGGGCATTTTTTACAGAGAGAAGAAGATGGAAAAAGCTAGGGCTTGATGAAGAAAAGCACTGGAATGAGTGAGAAAAATTTGCATAGTTTTGACCAGTTTTTTTGCTTAAGAATTAATCCACCACTCTTTCGGCAGAGTCCACCGCCTTGACGGCAATCACATCACATTTGCAGAATGCAGGTTTTCACCTGCTCCCGTCTCCATCCATCTTTTTCGTGTGAAAAGTTAAGCGCTAAAGGAAGAAAAAATAGTGTTGACCTACAAATTCTGACAAAAGGTGCAGGGGAAATAAAATTAACTGCACCACCGACAATCACACGCAGTGGGTATCCACGCCTTTTAATAGCAAATGCAAACACAAAGATTAAACATATTATTGGGATACAAAAGTTCATAGAGGTTTATTAGTAACTCACCCCTTCATCTTTTGGGCTACCGAAGCAACAGTGTTTTTTCTGTAATAACAATAACATCAATAGCTCAGGCTAAGTGAAACTTTCTCAAAAGTCAAAACCCATTTAGAAAACAATATAAGAGCTAACAACTATGAAGCTTACTTTGAAGTTCCCAATGCTGACGAATTCTACACATTTTCCTCAACATAGATACTAATCTCAATATACAACTTTGGAGTTTGGAACCTCATAGTTTCAATAAAAGTTCATTAACAAAATAAATAAATAAAATAGAAAAAAGATAAAATTAGAAAATGTAGCTAAAATGAACCATAGTTTTCCCCTTTTTAATTGGGCTTCAACGCTAGTTGCCTTATTTTTAAGCGAACATACTAAATTATACATAGGAAAAACACATTTGTTTCTTGCCAATATCAAGAATGAAGAACAATAAATAAAATTTACGTGTGACTCATAATAAAGAAAAAGTCCCACCATATTTATTGCCGCAAACAAAAATCAATGTCTTAATTAATGCATCTTAAAACAAGCACCAAACAAGCACCGCAGTTCCTAAAACCCAAACTGCTGAATACTCATATTTTCTCTACTAACATTCTCATGACGCACATCGGCCAAAAAAATAATATATATTCTTTTAGAAAAGAAGCACGACTTAGTAAATTATATTTGTGTCCTCACATTGAAAACTGTCAAGATATGAGCAAAAGGCCATCGTTAAACACCTAATCTAACTTGCTCTAGCATTTAGTAATATAACAAATTAGAAAGTTAAGTCGAACGATGAAGAATAAGTAACACAATAAAAGACCAGACTAATTTTCCAGTTCTCTGGTTGTTTCTTTTCTCCTTAACATGCAACACCATGAAAGCAAATGCAAAAAAAAAAAAAAAAAAAAA